AAGCCAAGGGACCGATACGGAGTTGCACTACCGTTCAGCAAGACACAACACTTCGGTCCTTGGTGCCCCGCCAGTCACTCAGACACATTGACCAACCGCTGGAGCTGATGACCACCGATTTGTCAGCTAGTTCACTAGTCCCCCGCACTTCAAAAAACGTTTTCAAGAAATTTACTCCAAATTAGGGAAATCACAAGTTGTTCCAGTCCTGTGATCGAGACCGCGGTTAACGACCAAGCTATTTCTTCTTTTGTTTTTCTTCACTGTTCATCTCCATTTTCATCGAGGAAAGCGACCGTTCAAGGGTTCGCGGTCTTTGTTGTGTGTGTCGAAATGAATCATACTCCCTCCCTACGGATTCCCATCATCTATCCACTTTGACAGAAAGAAAAGAAAGAAAAATTACGGTGTTGTTATTTAGCGTTCCTCACTAGCCTCACTACTTGTAGCATGTGTTGTTCAATGATGTCAAGAAGAGCCATCTGCTTTTCCCCATATATATGTATAGGCTGAGGGAGTCGGTCTTCGGAAACACGTATGGCATTGGTTGGAACACGAGTTGGCCGTGGTACATGTTCTGACCGCAGCTGGCCAGCTTCCCCTCCAGACTGCAGATACATGGACAAATATCGACTTTTTCCACTCGGCAGCTCAACAGCTTTTGGAGAAACTGACAAATTTCCACTTAACCGAACCGCCTGCCAATAACCAGTCGGGACAGACTCAAGAAGGTTAGTTCCTCACGAATGACTGTCATCATATTCTGTGTTGTCTTGATTTTGTATCACATTCTGCTGCTATTTTGCAGAGTATCAGGAAGGCTTCACATGTCGTGGTCCCCTAACCACTCCATCCTTCCTCATCTCGGCGAGTCCAACTTCGGGTGACCAATCCACCATTCCGAAAGAATCGGCGACCGGTCGTGCATGTGTCAATGACGCTGCAATCATTCTGGACGCTTGGATGCTACCAAAAGAGGTCCGCCAGGCCGAAACAAACAGAATTCGGACGCGACACCGCTGGTTAAAGGTGAGATTGTTCGTTCTTTGTTGATCACTACAGATAGCAAGTGAACAGTTCATCCTGGATACATATTACTCTTACTTTTCAGTCTCATGAGGCGTTCCTCACATCTCTGATCAATTTTTGCGGGCTTTATGGTGCCAGTGGTGTTGGTTTGCCCGCTGTACGAATCGAGTTACTATTCTTGTTAACCGAACTCCACACCTATCCAGCTCGTCCAGTCTCTTCGGCTAACGACGCTGCTCCCATCACCCCTACCGGTAATGCTTCAGTGCCTGCAGTGACTAGAGGCTATCAAACACATTCTTGGTTACCTTCGACTACTGTGGGTCTGGTGGACGGTGTTCCTTTGCTCCGAACCGTGCTGCATCTACCACCAGGTGCCTTATTATTACCGGACCCCGTGAAGCACATCCAGGTGGGTGGGGACCTCTCTCTTTTAAGACTGTTCATTAAGCCAAGCCCTCGATGTCGTTGTTCAACGTCTCGTTACATTATTTCGAATTTCAGTGCATGGTCCAAGATCTTATGGCCTCCCTGGAGGGTCTTCCGCCCCCCTATCTGACAACCGTTATCCTACCGTGTCCCCATCGGCCAAATTCCGAACAACCGGACTCTTGTGATCCTCCATCACAGCACTATTGCATTCAGTGTGCTTGGGCCCCCACGCCACATCGTCAACGACATGTGTTTCTGTTGCGCAATCTTTGTGCCGCCTTGGCTGTGGCGATGCACCAATCTCTGTCAACCGGTGGTTGGTTCGGACCTGGGCAGACTGCCGAGGGCTTGGGTTCGACCAGTGGAGTCGCGTTGCCCGCCTCCAGCTCCATGAACATTCGATCAGGTGTGTTGTTGGTGTTGTGCCTCCAACTAGTCGATGCATACTGGTGCATTTTGTGTACGTATTAAACGTGTATGAATGATACTAATCTGTTTGTGGTTTTCCTTTATTCCCATAGTGGAGCGTCTTCAGGCCACAAAACAACCCTTACAACCCAATACAGAACCATCCAAATGGCCCGGTGAGTTCGTCAACCAGCCTAACCATTCTACTGCCCATCGTCCACCTGTTCTCATTGACCGTCTGTTTCGGTCTTTCTAGGTCTCACCACACTTCGGAAGTACATTCAACTACAAGTTCCGTTTCCTCCGCCACTAAAGCCCGTTAGTTCTGCTCTGACAGTTCGTAAACTTTCCGTTTCTGAGTCGAGCGCCTCCGCGACCACTCTCACTACTACGCTTCAGCCGGTCAACCAACGTCATCTCATCGGTCTGCTTGCTCAAGCACTAGCTGCGACGTATCTGGGACTGATTGTATATGCACTACACACTCGGGACGCTTGTGTTCTATATCGCTTAGCGGCCGCCCGATTGGACAGTGCAACATGGGCCAAAGTGTTTGGAGGTGCTTATCGAGCGAAACCCTTCCGACCGCCTGCTCCTCCTGGAACCACGAAAATTCGTCCGGCTCCACCACCACCACCACCACTTCAAGCAGGGGAGGTGCTTATCGAGCGAAACCCTTCCGACCGCCTGCTCCTCCTGGAACCACGAAAATTCGTCCGGCTCCACCACCACCACCACCACCAGCTTCAAGCAGGCCTCCTCGCCCGCAGCGGTGAGTTTCGTTATCCTTGTCTGCTTACTTTTCCTGCTTGTAGGCAGTAATATGACTTGGATGGTCCGCTAGTTTCAGAACCCTTTCTTACAAGTAATGTACTTGTGGCCTCATTTATGTCAAGCAAAGTTTCTGACTTGATGGTATCCTTGCTCTGTAACTTCCCCATCAGTGAGTTATGTACTGTCCGGTATAGCTGTCTTTTTTTCCGCTTTCCCTTTTAGTATAGAGAGTCCGTGGTTCCTTACGAGAAAATACTTGATATTACGAACTCCTCGTTTTTTTTTAAATTTTGTAACTTCGGAGTCAAAAAGCTTGAGAACAAGAGTTTCATGAATCTCCCTATTGATGGAGGAGCAACTAATACTGTGCTCGGATCCTCGACTGTTCGTTCGGGGGCGCGTGATCGTTCGTTTTTCTCTTCCTGAGACTGGTAAATTCTCTTCTCTTTTTTCCTAGTGGCGGCGCTCATAGTCGACTTGCCGCTATTCGGGCCACCAAACGTGGGACTTCTATCTCGGAATCTGGTACCATCCACCCGCAACCGTCACAAAGTAAGCGCTTCCTCTTCCGTGTTACATCACATTGATTTTTCGCATAGAGTAAACACCT